CGGTATTGTCCTTCGTCCTGTATTTAATTTACCCAGACGTAGTTATTCGATAAGCCGATAATCGATATCAATCACCGATGAATATCGATTTCCAATGTCAACCTCGGGACTGATTGATATCTATTTCCGATAGAAATCGTCAATGATTATTTATCGATTGTTATTGACTACTATTCATTCTTATCGGAAAAGACGAGCCATTATTTGGTAGAAGTTTAAGTAACGGTCCGTGTAAGAGGTAGGCAGGCGAAAGGCACAAGTAATTAAAAGGTGCTAACTTTTAATCATTAATTTCAATTAAATCAAGCGTTCTGATTGGCTGTAATCCAAAAATCGCCAAAAAACAGTGAGAAACGTGACAAAAACAACTTTTTTTAGCCTTAGGTTCCCCATCCCCTTGTCTTATACCTCACGGCCAAGTCTCAGCATTGTCCTATGCGCCAATTAAAAGTTAGAGCGGAAAACGTGCAACACACGCTCGATTTTGTTGTGACCCCATCTTAGACGTGACACTTGAGATGATAGGAAATTTGTCCTTTACCGAAGAAATCTTGTCAATTTCTTCGTTAAAAATCTAAAAAACTTCTTTCGTGAATATTTATCTCAAATTTACTGTATTTTATCATCGGAGTGATCGTCAAAATGCTCTTCAACATGGTTTGTTGCCGTCCTCGACATGCCGAGTCGTCATGTGGAAATTTGGGCCCGGCGTAGTTGTTTTCGTTGTCAGGCCGGAGATCGGAATAATTGTGGCACTAGTAATTGGAGTACAGATGGGCATAAAAGAAGAAAGCGAAAGATTTGTTGTTTTTTACAAGGATGAATTTATTTCTCGAAGAGATGTAGAACACTTGACCTTGAGGTAAGCTGAACTGAATAGATTTTCGCACCTCCGCGCGTATTTAACATTAGGGAGCTTAAGCAGCGACGTTTTTGAACGACGCACGTCAACCGGAAGTGAGCCTTTTCCTCTTTTAATAAGCCTTGACGCTACCGTATTTATATTGCCAAGTGTCTTCATTCTTACAGAGACGATCTGCCCAAAAATGTGTTCAAAATCACGGCTCAAGAGTGCAAAACGTCCATTTCCGGTTGACGTGCGTCGCTCAAAAACGTCGCTGCTTAAGCTCCCTAATTTGGATGTGAGATGATAGATAGCCAACGAGGCGCGTAGCGCCGAGCTGGCTATAATCATCTCATATGCAACAAGCGCGAGTGGAATAATTGTTTTATTAAAAACGCCCACAAAATCTCGTTGAATCTCCCCGACTAGAACAAACCGGAAAAGACAAGGGACTTCCGCTATTCACATGTCACACGTCTATCAAAACTGTCAACGCGCGAACGGACTCGCCTGGACTGCATGAATGAAAAATCAAAACATTGTAGCGATGAGCATTTGTTTAAAAACTCATCGGGATTCTAGGATTTTACAGCAGAACAGCTAAAAAAACCTGGCAGATAATGTGAAGGAAAAGAATTTTTAAGTGACAGCCGTCGAAATTACTGTAAATTTGGATTTTCGATGCAGTTATAAAAGTAAGAACAACGGAGAAAAACTATTACCTCGGTCGCTTGTTATGAAGTTGTTTGAAGCCACAAGCTGGTTTTGCTGAACGAGAAAAGAACCTATACTGCCGCCTCGATTGCTCTAGTGAACGGCTGCATAGCCTGTATTTGTAGCTGGTTACTTTTGATTTATATTCTTGATGTCGGATAAACAAGCCGCATTTATCTGTCGGCGAGTGACTCGATCGGCGAATGGCTTCGCGATCATGAAGAAACAACACTTGTCTTCTTTCGTAGCTGATCAAGGTACTTTAGTTCCATGTATTTTCATGTGTTTTTCGACAAACTTTCAAACAAGCTCTTGTGGCTTTTTTGCTTGTTTTCTTTCGATGAAATTGCATTTCTAGTATTCTAAGAAATGAATTAAAACAATTTGCTTCGGGTGCCGTTCTATCCTTCGCGAAAAAAAATCTCAGTTAGCTTCCAATTTTAAACTGACGCGTACACCGACCACATATGGAGAGCATGGTATAATAGCTCTTATACCATAACGGCTAAGCCAATCAAAACGCTAGAATTGCATTATCCAATGATTCAGTTTTTAATAATATGCGTTATTCCTTTGTGTTTGCCCTTTTCGAAACTTCCATATTCCGTGTATCTTTACCCATCTCTCATTCCATTTCTTTTCTCTCTAGACTGCTTCATCAAGCGAAATGGAAATTCACTGTGGACCTTAAGTTAAAATTAACGAATTAAAATTTGTGACACAAGTTTGAATTTTGTACCTTTGAGTTCTGAGACGGAAGCCGCTTTGGTATCATATGTATCATATAAATGGTTGTCACTGGGGTTTGAGTTTCTCTTGGTACAGAAGATCTAGCGAGCATGACTGTAGCTTGCCTTTATTTTTTCCAATGACGAGAGAGATTGTAAGAAGGATTTTTATAGGGTAATATCAAAACCATTCCTCCGGCCCGTTGGTCCTTGT